ACGTTATGGATTTCGCCAACCATTTTAGAGTATTGATTGATTTGACTGATTATCCTTCCCGCACAATCCTCAGTTCATCGATTCGAAGATGCACTCGGAAGCACTAGACTCGAGTTTTGCTTTTATTGGAGCTTATCAGTAATGCATATTCACCGTCCCGCCCGGGATTCGAACTCCGGATCCATTGCATGGAAGGCGTCTGGGTTGCCACTGTGCCAAACAGCTCACGCCATGGCTGAACCAAATTACCAATTCATGTTTGTTCAGGTGTTGGCTTCAGTAATAGTCAGTTAGTGCATTATGTCCAACAGCACCGAAGAGAGACACAGATGGCAACTTATTAACTGCAATCGAAAGCCTCCCCTCAAGTCAAGACGTCCATGCAGGTTACGGACTGACTTGCCACAAACCTAGCAAGCTTGACTGATCTTCGCATTTTAGAGTATGTTCGTTTATCCTTTGTGAGAGCTGACAGTCTTTTCCTTCCGTGTACGTGTCACGGAAACTGCAGGTGAACTGGTATACACAGTGTGTGAGACAGAACCGGTTTGCAAGCCATATTTACGCTCGTCCAAATCAATTCCACGAGTAGAGAAAATGAGTCTTAGTTGAGCAGTTGGGACTGTTCGGTCTAAAGCACATTATTATCAACTTGGTCACCTTCAGGTGATAGCTTTTTTGCTAACATTTTCGGTTGGGTTACCTTTTGGAAATGATCTACTGTGAATATCCACAAACCTTCCAGGGTAAACATTGTTTAGCAATGTTCACCCCTGGAATTCCTCCTCTCCCTCCTAGTGTATCTGGCGAATAAATATTTTTTGCCCCATGAAATTGGGTTCTCACAAGTCCACTTTTGTAAGCCATGTCGTTCTTCGGCGAAATAAGCTTTGTATTGTCCCATTTATTTGTCTCTTAACAAAAGGGACTGACCGACAATAGAGACATGAAATGAATGAATAGACGAAACGAATCGTCCTTACTCAGTAAGCTCATGTGGCTATTTCAGTCTGGAAATTTCTCTTAAGAAAAATGACAGCTGAAGATAAAAGAAATTAACTTTCTTTCTTCATCTTTCATATTTGAGCATCAATTTAGAATTAGTGCTGCATGTTTTTCTTGTTCCCGAACACCGGTTAAAAAGCGTTTTGTTTTTCAATGAAAAGGCTTTGTGTCTTAGAATCGCCAACTCACTTGTGAAGAATTATCGTAATGAAATTATATTTTATCACCATGTTCCGTGTTTAGCTGTTCTTTTCAGGTCACTCCAAATAGGAACAATCACGGAGACGTGGGGCACGCCAATCCATGTCATTTTATGACGATGGTCTACAATATACAAGCTTGACGCGTGGTTGCCAAATTTTTGTCGGGAATTTTTGGCACTGTCCCGAAGGTTGATGAAATCAAGAGTAGGCTAAAATGGAAGTTGCTCATGTANCGTAGTTGTTTCACTAATAGCTAAGATATCCGGCCAGCCCTGGTTCACGGTTGAATTCGAGCTCATAGGTTGCTACCGAGCCCCAAATCACAATATGGACGTTTCCATCTCGTCGCTCGAGTAAACCATCGGACACTTTTGTGTTATTTTATTCGATGAATTTCTATTTTTCATTACACAAAGTGGAAATTCCTATATTCCAGTTGGAAACCAAACAAATACAAACGAAATATGAAGAGATTGCATCAGTCACTCAGTAGGTTAAACAGTAGTAATACACCGGGTGTTCCACGTGTGAGGTCCAAATCCGATTGAGGATTGTTTACACACTGCTGTTAAGACTGACAAGTTGGAAACTTTCGTTTGCTTTTCATGGACTATTTTGCAGTCTGGAACACAAATTCAGGCGAACAGTTGTTTTAGATAAAGCATTAAAATGCCATTGCACTTTATATGAGAAGATAAGATCTAGGGGCTGGGAGGACAACATTGAAATGTGAGGAATCGATCACTTTGTATGTGTGGTGAACACCAGATTCTCAGATCTGTGCTATCGGGGTTTTCAGTTACGTCACCTTGGTCGTGTGTAGTCTGAGGGATCGATGTTATTGCTTGTGTGTGGGCAGGGAGAGAGGTGGGTTCATAAACCCAAGAAAGATGGAGATCTTGGATAAGAGGCTTCTAAGCACACAGTCCGGGAGTCAAAACATATGGATTCGTCTAGGGCCAAGGTACGCATTCTACCCTATTTAGACCGGTTCGGGGAAATATGATAAATAATGCGGAATGCTTCACTTGGGTTAACACAATGGACAATATTTACCACATGGGCAAAACGTGCACTTGTAATTCTTCTAAGCAATGCTCATCATTTTGTCTGAAGCGTAAATACAAATGTGGTTGCCTGATGCACAGACAAATATCGTCTCGCGTAATTCAACCACAGGATAAAAATCAAATAATACTCATTCTTTGCAATAAGTGATTAAAGAACAATGCGAACACACGTGAAAAGCTAACCACATAGTGGTTCTGACAAGTGAATAGTACTGAATCCATCAATTCGACATTTAAAGACAATTTTTTGGTAGGCCATTTTTATTAGTTTCCTGCACCGTAAGGACATGAACCTTACTCACTTTGAAGTGTTGCCAGTCTGGTTTGTAGTTCACTTTGAGTCTGTTGATTCTCGGCAGACATATTGGCCAACTGACGTAGCTGGGTTTCCAATTCGGACCGCTGTAACACCCCGTCTGAGGTTTCCAACTGTAATTCTTGTAAACGTTCCAGTGTCTCGTGCAGTCGGGATTTGGTCTGATTCAGACTGGTCCGATTGGACTCCAGTCTTTCCTGAAAGCGAATGAGGAAATTCGGCACGTGATTCGTGTTGTCATAATTGGTAGTTGGGAGTGGCATGTCCGAGAATGCCAGCCAGACGAAGGGGATGAATAGGCGGGGTGCAAAACTTTCTAGACAATAGCATGGAGCGAAGAATAAGCATAAAAATGTTTCACCAAACAGACACTCTGCGCTGTTTCGGTTTTTCTGTTATTTTACAACCGACAGGCACACAGGAAACAATCAAAGTCTGAGGGGTTTGAAATGGGTTTCATTTTGTAAACGGTGACAATAAAAAATGACGGCCCCGTTGTTTCCACCACGTCAATAATAATCTTTTTCTCGAAGGAGATATATCAACAAATGTTTGCTAAACTTTGTAAGATTGAATTCAGACACCTTCCGTGGTCAAAATGCAGATTGCAAAGGCACAGAAATACAGTTGCGGTAGTGTTTCATTCCTGCAGCAGTTTGGCGCGTTTTAAATTACAGTTGGGTTCAACTAGCAGAATGGAAAAATCGTTTTCGATATGCAGTAGTTGCGAGAACCAGACTAAGTAAGCGTTTTTCTGGTTTGTGATATTTGATTGAGTGAATAGGTCATTCTTCCTCTCGCTTGATATGCTTAAACAATGTTTGCAGAAAGCAGATGGACGCAGCCATTTTCGAAGTTTGAATATCTCAATTCTTCTGTTGCGGAGACTTGTTGGAGAGCCGAAACATGCGGCCAATGCCCGGTCAAATTCGTATTTAACATTCCTAATCCATGCACGACGTCTAGCGTAATTACCTTGTGGCAATAACTCACTCCCCCCCTCCAAACTCCATGCATCCTTAATTTCTGTTTGTATCACTTTTTCATCGCTTCTCTATGGTATTTTTATTTACACGCACTGAATCAGATTAGAAGAAACAACGGGGAAAATGAGTCATGGCTTGTCGTAGCGGGCTGAAAGAAATAAATATTTTTCATGTGTTCAGGCGGTAGGGGGAGGGGGCAACTCGGCTTACGGGTTCCAAAAATTAACATTGTCTTTGGTTGGGGATACTAGGCGATACGGAATCCAATTGAACTCAATATGCTGTGAATGCACAGTTCTTGCACAGTTGCAATCTCGATCGTGAAATTCGAAAACAACGAAAAATTCTCAATTGCCTTCAAATAAAAAACAAACAAACAGTGTTTTGTTCCCCTCATTAAAACTCAATTTCTTAACCTGTGTTCTCTTCTTTATAACTGGCGGTCATTTAGCGACAGAATATGTAAACAATGTATATATGCATACATATATCCAACTCGTAGTCTTTAAATGGTCCCCCGGATAGGTAACTAATGTTTGTGACATTTATCTTGTGCTGTCCAATCAAATAGTTACAGTGGCCTTATTGCGCACAATCGGTTGGAGAATTGAGACGATCAGCAAGATGTCGATCTTATTTTGTGCTGGCTTGGCATACGTGATCTTCCTTTGTCTTGTAATGGACTCTATATCTCGATAGGTTGCACAGATCGCATCCACCTGAGAGAGGGAACCACACACAGGGTCGCCACATTTTGTCCGATATTGTATCCGTTCTGTAAAAACACCTCATGCAATGATCCTATTCTGAACAGTCTCAGAGCTTCAACCACTTTTAAAACTACAGGTATAAGGGTGTATAGTCATTATCTTAGTGATGGTCATGACTTGTGTTTTACTGTTCGGCAGTGCCAGTGAGATTTAAGGCGTTGAACAGGGGAAAGAAACGTCAACTGAAAAATGTCATCTAATAAACCTGTAAATGAGTCAGAGAGAAAATTAGCTGTGCTTAGGTACGGAAGTGAATTGGTAACGGAGCGTTTGTCGTTGTATCGGACTGAAGATAACTGGTCTATACTTGTGGTCCCCGGGGGTGCATGTGGGCGGATAGGGGGTTGAGTGATTTGCAGAGCTAGATGATTAAACATACACCAAGAAATGGGCCCGTTCGCTTCCTAGATCAAGAGATGCACCTACAGTTCGAGGCCGTTAGGCTGTAGGAACAGATTTGGATTAACTAGTAAACAACTGCAATCAACTCAGTCAGTGTTCGAATCCAACCGAAAAAGATAGATCGATTTTTCGTGCAGACAATTTTGACTATGGATAAATCTGAAAAGTTGGCTGACTCTGACCTGGTACGTATGTAGTTATAAAGTGTTGATTTGCGCAGATATTCATTCTAGAGCTAAATTGCAATAATTTATCACTGATAAATTCATCTTCATGTAGAAACCATACAATAAAATCGGTTTCTGGCGGGGTCTTTAGATAATCAATTTTACATGTGAAGATTTAATCCAATAAAAATGGGAGAACAGTCACCACTAGATTATGGAATTAGCAGTAACGAACCGCGCACTAACAGCATGCCACAAAAACTATCTTGTCAAGAGTGTGAATGAGTTGCCTTTGTCAAATATTGCGGTTTATTCGGATCAGACGAACTCAAAAACAAATCGTTATCATGTTGTCTATCTGTGTGTGGTTTCACCCTTAGATCAGTGCAAACACATCTATATGGGTCATTATAGGAATGGGGTTTAACTGTGTACAAAAAGATTGATCAGTCTAAGAGATCTTTTTTTACTCAGGCAACTGATGCAGGTCGGAATACAGTTACGTAACACTTAGACCAAGGTTACATGCACATTACTCAATGTGTGTTTCTGGAGTTGATGAACTTTCTTGTCTTTAATGCTCCACTGGGCACGTTTAAATTTATCTTTCAAGTAATATACTGGGGTGTTAAATGATTGCCCGATTATGTCCAAACACCGCTACCATATGTATAGTCAGTCAGTCACGGATGGGGAAGAGTTAAATTTGACTACTATCCGAAATAGGGAATCCTGGGTGCTGACTACTTGACAGGGAGTGTTATCCGTGTGGATTATCAGATCTCATCTCTGAGGTAGTTAGTTAACTGCCGAAACTTGATGAAAAGCAAAACAGAATATTCCCTATCAGTTTCCCGAGAAGACTGCACGTCAAAATCTACTCTATGCTGCACTGATCCGAGGCTGGTAAAATAATGCTATCTCTGTCTCTCACTTCGATAAATAATGATGCTCTCCGTAGCATTGAAAAGCGTGCAACATCTGCTTATTTCCCCAAATCAACAGTACTTTTGCGAGTCTCAGACTGTTTTGGTGTACTAAAAAATAGCTGGGAAGGAGTGACTTCAAACACGATACTTATCCTATTTAACTCACAATGACTTGTGTGCATTGGTGTGGGATAATTTTTTTCTTTTTTCATTTTACTTCCTTTATTATTAAATACACAAGGTACAATTTTCAGGAAGGGGGAAGCGGCCAATCAAAGGGCCGCCATTCACCGCACAATGGGGATAACCAGGCGGTGGTGGTGGGATTCCAACACATCCCCGGGATGATAAGTTGCTGACGTTACCACCAGGACACCACCACCCGATACTGATTTGAACTGACCATCCTTCACGCACAATCCCCAGTTCCTCTACCCGACTAATACACTCGGTACCATTAAACTCAGGCTATTCTATCATTGGTAGTGTATGTACACCATAAAAAACAACTAAGAGTCAAATTTGAACTCCTAATCTAGCTCACCAGGTTGGTAATCACTTAGCCTGTAACCTGTATGAAAGACCTGATTGGGTAGGAAGCTTGAGATTGGAGTTAACAGATAAACAATTATCTCTCTTCGTTTTGGTCGAGCCAAAAGTGAATTGACTGACCAGCACTGAAGATTACACCCGGAACAAACATGAATTGGCAATTCCGTTTAGCCCTCGTATGAACTAGGTGGCATAGTGGTAACAGACACCTTCCATGTGATTGGTCCGTAATGCAAAACCCGACCGATGGATGTGCGCTACGAATGAACTCTAGTGAGAGATTCCGCGAGTATGGTTGACTGAAAGAACTGAGAATAGTGCATGGAGGTGAAGTCTGAAGTATGGTCAGTTCAAATCAATAACAATAATTATCAGTAGGGTTCCCTTTCTCCACAACCGACAGAGAACGAATTGAGCAGTTGCACTGACTAGGAGTTTGTTCGCAAATCACATGTTTATCATTCGTTATTCTGTGCACCAAACTTGAGTCTCCCAAACGAGTAAATTGTCTAGGTCAATGCGGTTTACGGAAAGAAGAGTTCAATACCACATGAATGATTTTGCCCAGCGGCCAAGGTGATCGATCAGTGATACTCCGCCGGGTTTCTGTTTCCTTACCTCCAGCAGTCGTCTTTCTTGATCATTCGCGGATTCACGTTTCTGCAATTGGGCAATCATCTCGCGTTGTTCGTTCAATTCCTGTTTCAGACTCATCTGATCCTTTTGGTCACGATCCACGTGATCGCGCAGCTCGTTGACCATTTGGTTGGCTTGATTCAACGCCTGTGTCAACCGATCCACATCTGCTTGAAGGGCATGCACACGGGCCTCCAGTTCGGAGTTCTGTCGGGCTAGATTTTCCAGACGACATTGTAGTGCCTGTTTAGTGGTTGCCATAGTTGGTTGAGATGTGAAAGATAGAAGTAAGACAAGATAAGAACAGCTTGCAAATATCATACGGAGATAAAACCCAGTGAAGTGTATTTTTAGGAAAAATACAAAGGTATTACCACTTAGGTTTGTCGTAAGCAAATTAAGATGGTATTACTCATTTCCTCAAATCCGCAATTTATACCAGCCGTAATGATAATTGTCCTTTGCGTCAGTTTGTTTGATGCCCGATATTTTTACAATCAAAGTTTAGGACGGGGACCGCAGCAAATGCAGGGCAACGAACCAATGAATGCGGCAGGAAGATGACGATGGTGATATCCGAAATCACGATGAACTACGACAAAACGATGGGCTGAGAATGTGTAACACTCGTTAACCGCTATTCCTCACATATGCGTTTGAATTAAAAACCAGTTACAGGAATTATTACAGTGAGGTAATAGTTTGTTGTTAAGCTCTAAAATCGTGTTTTATTGAAGCTGCTCAATTTAAAAGCTGAGTGGTTGTTCCCGTCAGATATAGTCGACGTGGGTGCTCCACAAGATCTGGTTATGCAACACTTTTCTCCCACGTTTGTCTGTCCTGCAGTCCGGATAATCATTGTAATCTTTGTGATCAATCTATGTAACTGGGAAAAATTGGTGCTTGTCTGCTTCTTTCAAGCATTCCTGGTAGAAAAGCATTTTTTTAACCTAAGATAGTTTGCATGGCAACAAAATATCAGATCAAGGAACGAGTGGTGCAGCAACACCTAACTTCAGATTGAAATTCACAAATCCCAAAGTTCGGGTTGATCACATTTTACATCAGGAGTCTTTCTCCAAGAGTCTCACGTTGATGATAGATGAAAAGATCAGTTAGATGGGGAAAAAACAAAGTAAAACTCATTTTTATAGAAAAGTGGACTTAACCCCAGACGAAATGCAATGGGAATACAAATTCCAAGGTGTCATATCAATGTGGGAATGTCTCCAAATCGGTCTGAATAAAAACAAAGCAATCTGAATGCATCTTTCATCTTTCTTTCTTTCATCTTCTACCCGGACCTTCCGTATCTCATGCAGAAGAAGTTGGTCAAGCACACCTGGATTATGATTAGAGAGGAATACGTTTTGCACAGCTGTGATCGTCCAGAAAATCGGCAACATTATAATATAAAACATTTTACAAAACAGGTATATGTATATATATATGTATTTAATACAGACTCGCGAACAAACAGGATGCCAACGCAACAAAAATAATAACAGAGAATGAAACGGGTTCAGGATACAAGGCAGTGGGATGAGAGACAAACATGTATGGGATTATTCGATTTTTTGTATGGTTTCGCTTGGCGTTTCGTGTCAACAATGCGTATTCTGAATGACGGAACCCGTGCATTTAAGAAGTATCGAAAGCAACTATTATCACGACTTACCTGTTTCTCAGATTCGAGATCATTCATTGCCGTTTGCATGCGATGAAGTTCACCTTCCAAACGTCTCCGTGCCACTTCTGCTTGTGTGTACCGAGTTTCTGCATCATCTAACCCACGAAGAAGCTGTCTGCGATCTTCTTCCAGTCGTGACTCAGATGTCTTTGCCTTATCCATGCGTATCTGTATTTCGAATAGAGACGGGGAAACCAAAAGAATGTCAACCTAAACATTTTCAGGTTTGTGAAAAATACGTAAATCAATTAACCAATCGTACTCGTTTTGCTAGTTGTAAGTAACTGAAATTCTTTGTACAAACTGAAGACCACTTTTGGCATTCGGATTTTATTGTTCTGATAAAGAAAAGTCTATTGAATTGCAGCAGTAGACATTCACCTCTTCATTCAGTAACAATAAGTTGCGGTTTTTGATCATCTCGATCACTAGATTTGAAAAAGAGCTAGTCCGTTGGAGATCGTTAATTTCCCACAAGTTGAATGCGTAACAACGTGATTTAAATATTTGTGATGACCGACTTAAAGAGTACTGGACAGTTGTTTCATTCTGTTTGGGACTCGTCAGTAGTGCGTCCTTTCTCTGTTCCTGTCAGGACTCGAACCGCGAAAATTCGAGTAGGGAATTCAAACCCTTAACCCTGAGCTACACGGTCGACGGTCACCAATTTGTGCGAATGGCTCAATCGATTTAGACGGTAAAGGGAAGAGAAAATCGCTTGTTCATATGACCACGACATAATTTAGCGAATTTTGGTTATGTAGTGCAGATAGAATATCATTCTGAGTTCTCTCGGGTTCACCACTACGTTCCTGAGTTTCCTCACCTCATCTATTTGACCCTTCTGAAATTGCTTCATATAAATGTGACCTTAAAGGCCAAAATCAGCTCTTATCACATTGTGATTTTTGTTTTATTCAAATGAATCAAGCGCAAAGGATGTTCGCGATCTTTAGGGTTTGTTCTCATTTACTAGGAGGCAACATATTGATTAGACATGATGTCCGGGGTTTTATACACCTAGTACCATGTGAGAAGTAGAGGATTGGATTAAATTTAAAAGGGGAAATTAGTTGTGTATATAGCAAATGAAGCGTGAAATGAAAACCTAGGAAACACTACTGGACAGCTGGTTCGGCATGGTTAGGTCTCATCAGCAGCGCGAATCCATCAACCCGACTGGGAATCGAACCCAGGACTTCACAAGCAGAATGTAAGCAAGCTACCCACTCGGTTTGTGTTATATCGTG